ACTGCTGAAGCTAACCATGGAACAGAAGGGAAATATTATTCCATGAAAATCTGTCAACATTGTCTCAGGAACTATTGTTATTAAAGTTAGCAATGTTAACCTTCAAGATCGCCAAGTAAATTAATGTAATCACTCCAGTTTTATTTTTTTTAGATTTTATTTATTTATTTTTAGAGAGGGAAGGGAGGGAGAAAGAGAGAGAGAGAGAAACATCTATGTGCGGTTGCTGGGGGCCATGGCCTGCAACTCAGGCATGTACCCTGGCTGGGAATCGAACCTGCGATGCTTTGGTTCACAGCCTACGCTCAATCCACTGAGCTACGCTAACCAGGGCTTCACTCCAGTTTTCTATCCATTCTACCCATGTGCCGTGTGCTCATTCATGCACCCCTATTTATAGAGTGCCTATTATGTGCTTGGTTGTGAAATATGTAAAGAAGGTAGACGTGGGGCTTCCAGTCTATCCAGACAAGTAAGCAATTACCCAGTGGGGCCCTTGCTGGTGGGAGGGGGTGCTGACTAGATAGAAACATCAGGGAATTTTCTGGGATGATGGAAATGTTTTATGTCTTGTTTTAGGTGGTGATTACATGGGTGTATATAGTCACTAAACCACCAGTCTTAAGATCCATGCATTTTATTATATCCTAATTGTACCTCAGTTTTAAAGAGGGGGCAGCAGCCAACCACCCCCAGGAAAAGCAGTTATAACACAATGTAACGAATGCTATGACAGAGTGTGGGGTGTGATATACATATATAAGCATACCTGACCCAGTCCTGGAGGTTCAGAGGAAGCTTCCCTGAAAAACTATACAGGGGGGGTACCTAAAAGCTGAGTGATAATAGCCAGGTAAAGAAGCCAGGGAAGAGCTCCTTCGGCAGAGAAATTGCATGTGCAAAAGCCCGGAGGCAGGAGAGACTAGGAGCCACCTAGGGCACTGCACGCAGTTCAGTCTGATTAGAATGGAGGCTGTAAGGTGAGGCCGCTGGGAGATAGGGCTGGAAGGATGAGCAGGGAATAGGAAAGTCCCTGTAAAGCTATTTTAATGAGTTTGGGTGTTATCATGAAGCCACTGAGAAGCCCCAGAGGATTTTAAACAGGAAGAGCCCTCGCTGGTGTGGCTCAGTGGATTGAGTGCCGGCCTGCGACCCAGAGCCAGTCCAGTTCCCCGTCAGGGCGCAGGCCTGGGTTGGGGGCCAGGTCCCCAGTGGGGGGTGTGCAAGAGGGAACCGCACACTGATGTTCCTCTCCCTCTCCTTCTTCCTCCCTTTCCCTCTCTCTAAAAATGAATAAGTAAAATCTTTAAAAACAAAAGCAGGAAGAGAGACAAGGTCAGGTGTATGGTACAGAGAGGCGATTGGTCTTCAGGGTAGAGAACAGATAGGAAGCGGGCAAGGCTAAGAACAGAAGGGCAGTCAGGAGAAGACGTGGCCTGAGCACGGGTCATGGCCAAGGGGTTGAAGTCATGGCGATGAGCAGAAAGCAGAGGACGGAAATGCCTGGATACGGGATTTGGAGAGAAGTCAAAATCAAGGATGACTCCCAGGTCTCTGGTGTGGTGCCACATACCAAGACAGGGACCCAGGAAAAGGCGCAGGAGTGGAAGAGAAACGGGTACGAGTGGGCAGATCTGTTCAGCCAGCAGGTGTGCGTAGTCTGCAGCCGAGGGGAACGATTTGCAGGTCTGGCCTGGGAATTTCTCAGATGGCTGCGGTGTCTGGAGTCACACTGCAGGTCCAAACGTCAACAGTGCCGAAGCTGAAAACCCTGCTTTAAATGTTCACGATTTTTTCCTACACAGTACAGCATGATTCAATATTGGTATATATTGCACCCTGGCTGGCGTAGCTCAGTGGATTGAGCGCGGGCTGTGAACCAAAGTGAACCAAAGTGTCGCAGGTTCGATTCCCAGCCAGGGTACATGCCTGGGTTGCAGGCCATAACCCCCAGCAACCGCACATTGATGTTTCTCTCTCTCTCTCTCTCTCTCTCTCCCCCCTCCATTCCCTCTCTAAAAATAAAAATGAATAAAATCTTTAAAAAATATTGGTATATGTTGCAAAACTAACACCACAATAAGTCTAGTTAATGTCCATCACCAGACATCGTCACACCAATTCTTTTTCTTGTGGCGGGAACTTTTAACATTTGTTCTTAGCCTCTTTCAAATGTGCCATACAACATTACTAACTGTAGCTGCCATGCTGTGCATGACACCCCATGGCTTACTAATTCTGTCACTGGGTTTGTACCTTTGACTCCCTTCGCCCGTTTCTCCCGCCCACCACCCCGATGACTGTGAATGCAGATCTAATGTACAAGACATAACTTGTTTGGCCAGGTCTGTCTCTTTATTAGAAGAATAGTAATACAGGTGAGCAAAACACTCGGCTGGGGATAGGAGACTTGGCAGCTGTTCTGACTTTCATCCCTGCCTCATAAGTCTCACAAGCCTCAGGCTAGAGGGCTCACTTCTGTGGCTCAGTTTCCCAAGCCATGAAAGGGAAATCTTGTCCGCTTTTGTCTACTAAGGAGAATCATGGGGGCAGGGAACAGCCTGTAAAGTGCTCCAGCTTATTTCAGAGAAATATAAAATGGCCCTACTTTATTTGCTTTACTCTCTGGAAACCAGTTTAAAGTTGTGTTTCCATTTTACTTTAGGCATCAGGGTTCTTCAGCCATTCAGGAAAGTGTAAGACCAAAGCCAGTTAATGATCATTATGTCCATTTTCTTTTTTTTTAATTTATATTTTTTAAAGATGTTATTTATTTTTAGAGAGGGAAGGGAGGGAAAAAGAGAAAGAGAGAAACATCCATGTGTGGTTGCCTCTCACACGCACCCTACTGGGGACCTGGCCTGCAACCCAGGCCTGTGCCTTGACTGGGAATGGAACTGGTGACCCTTTGGTTTGTATGCCAGCGCTCAATCCACTGAGCCACACCAGCCAGGGCTCATTATGTCCATTTTATAGATGGAGAAACTTAAGGCAGAAAAGAGTTATATATTAAGTCAGCAAAGTAATTAACCAGAATTCCAAAAAGATTCTGAGCCCAAAACAAATGAATCTGTGGAACCATGTGGTGTGCTACCCCAGAGACGGCGCTCTAAAGTGCTGTTGGGTATTTTCGAAACCGTTTTTGCTGTAGCAGAAGTCAACCAGTCAGCTGGGATTCAGTAAGACCTGGCTTAAGCATTCCAGTGAAGAGATACTTTTTCATTTCATGAGTGGGTAGATGTTATGACCTGACTACAACTTTGGCATTTGCAAACTCAGGTTAAATGAGGACAGGCGGAGAATCCCTTAAGTCTTTTTTTTTTTAAACATCAATGTGCGGTTGCTGGGGGCTGTGGCCTGCAACCCAGGCATGTGCCCTGACTAGGAATGGAACCTGCGATGCTTTGGTTCGCAGCCCACGCTCAATCCACTGAGCTACGCCAGCCAGGGTGTTTTGTTTGTTTTGTTTTGTTTTGTTTTTTGGTGGATATTCGTTTTAATTTCTCTTGAGTTATGTCTACAAATGGAACTGCTGGGTCCTATGGTAACTCTGTGTTTAACACTTGCAGGAACACCCAGACCATTTTCCAAAGCAGCGGCACCCTTTAAGTCTCATCGGCAATGTATTAAGGTTCCAATGTCTCCACATTCACAGCAAAACTTATTATCCCTCTTCTTGGTGTTAGCTATCCTAATGGGTATGAAGTGGTGTCTCATTGTGGTTTTGATTTGCAGTTCTCTGATGGCTCATAACGTGGAGCTTCTCTCTTCATGTGCTTATTCAGGAATTCTTTTTAAAAAACTTTATGGTTGGTACTATTTCATGAACTCTTGAGACAGACCTGCCAACCTCCCTTCTCATGAGGAATAGGGCTCTGTACCACCAGCAAATGTTTACATTTCTTTGTGTACCTAGACCATTAGAAGACGGAATACTTTCTCTTCCACGGAAGCTCAGCGACCACTCATACATGGTGAATGAAAGTCTTTCTTTGCATTTTTCCCAAAGAAGAAAATCCAGGACTGTCCTGGATAAGAAGTTCAATTACATTACCCAAGCAATGCTTGAGGCAAGAAAAATAAACGAAAAAAGTATCATAGCCTAAAAAAAGTGGCGTGGCTCTGTGTTTTAATCAGAGACAGCCCTTACAAGCAAATCTGTTACCAAGGAGCACAACAGTCTCAGGTGCGAATTATGAGAAGCGAATTGCCATCTTCGCGTCTCTTTCTCATTGAGCCACTCAAGTCCTGGTAGAGCGGGAGGGGAGAGGGCGGAGCGCAGGAAAGCCAGCTGGGTGCCACCCAGGCAGGCTGCACCCACCGACCCTGCACAACCCCCGTTTTTCCGTCCAAATGAAGTCAGCTCCAGGGGGCTCCCCAGAATTCTCGCATTGCGCTGGAACGTGGTTGTTTTGAACGCCGCTCTCCAAGAGCAGCTGGGGCTGGAGAACCGTTCGGTGAAGTGTCTGCAAGAAGAGCCTTTTCAAACCCGCGTCCTCGCGGGCGCAGCTGCCGCCGCTCACAGGACCCTCGAGCGAGGCGACGTGAGTCACTACCGAGTGTGAGAAGCCTGAAAGTCTCTTGAGAAAATCTGAGGCCCTGCTCTGACGGTTGTAACAAAAGCCTCCCATACGGGCGTTTTCAAATCTACAACGCCCTTTCCCCTGCTCAGCGCCCGGGGAATTTGACCTAAAGCCAGACCTCTGCTGCACCCGTTCCTCAGGGAACGCCGATTCCCCTCTCAGCAACTCCGCGGAGAAACAGCCGGCGGAGCAGCTACCGCCACGCCCAGGTCCGCCCTTAGCAGCCGGAGCCCGGATGGAGTCGTCCTCCGCCCACCCCTTAGCGCCGGAGGCCCCGCCCCATTACCGCTACCTGATTGGGTCTGGTGACCGGCCCCCCGAGTACCGGCTCTGGATTGGTCAACTTGGCCGCCGCTCGTTGCTTCTTCGGGCGGTGCGTGGCAGGCGTGGCCACGCCCCTTACGTCCAGACGCTCTGTCGCCTCTGGAGGCCCCGCAATCGCAGTCCAGAAGGAAGGGGAACCTCGGTGCGAGGAACTGTTATGGTGTTGAGTTTGCGGCCAGAGCCGACCGAGACGCGGCTGTCGCGGCCATGAAGGTGAGGGATCGGTGGAGAAGGGCAGTCCCTCCTAGCCGCTCCCGTCCGGCCGGGGCTCCCGAATTGCCTTTTTCCCTCGGCAGCACCTCTCCAGAGACCTCCGCGGAGGGGCTTCCCGGCCGGCGTCTGGGTCCCTGACCGGCCCAGGGCGGCTAGCCTGGGCTCCCCGATCTCTCCAAGTCCCACACCGCCTCCGGTCGGCGAGCCCGAGGAGCGGGGAGAGGCCGGGCGCCCCCGGCGCTCACGCCTCGGGGTTCCTCTCCGCGCCGGGCCCTGTCCGCGTCCTCGGGGGCCTGCGGCAGACCCAGCGGTGCTCGGTTCAGCCCTCGTGGCTTTGCCCACAGCGTGCCCACGCCCCCCCCAAGTCCTTGAACCACCCCAACTGTCGGGAACACCACGGGACTGTCGCAGGACGGACACTGCAGGATGAAGGGGAAAAGAGGGGTGCGGGGAGCCGTGAGGCCGGGGCCCGGCTAACGGGTTAGGGATGCCTCGGGGCGGGGATCCCACCCTGAAGGGTTCTCTTTTCATAGACTTAAACCTTGGGGCCGCGACCTAGAGCGGCAGCAAACTCGGCGCGTCTCCGTCGCCGCTAGGTACGCAGCAAGTAATCGGACAGCTTGAGTTCTTCCAGGTGGGTGTGAGAGCGTGGGAGCCGCGCTGAGCGAGAAGTTTAAGGGAAGGGGGCGGACGCTGGCCTACTTTGGGGAGCCGAGAATTCTAAAGAGCTCCGTGCGCAACAATCATTCAGGTATTGATTCATGTGCCTAACTCCGACCAAGTGGGAAAGAGCCGTCCGGGGAGGATACTCCTTCAGACACAGCCGGTTTCTTGAGTCTCCGTGAAGAGGTGTGCTGGACGGTGCGGGTGAGGAAAGGAACAACAGTTTTTATGCCGCCGGCATAAAACTCTACCTGCACAAAGGCCCAGAGGTTTGCTGTGGGAGATTGATCAGGGAGTGTCACGTGGCCCGCGAAATTGAGCAGATGTTTTGTGGAACATTTCCTGTGTGTCGGCTCAGAAGGAGATAACTGTGCGTAGAAATAATTCAAAATAGGATCCCACCCTTGAGGAGTTTGCCAGTCAGAAGAGGCATTCTCAAGGAACCACAGTGTGAGAGTGAAAAAAATGTGAAGCTCCCGGGAGCAGAAAAGGTTATTTCAGGCTGCAGGAAGCAAGGAGGAATGTTGCAGTAGGTAACTTGTGAGCGTTCAAGTATGAGGCTGCCTTAGAGCTTATTTTTAATTCCCGGTTTAGCTGTAAAATATTTCAACTTAGAATACCTAGTAAAATGCCTAAAACTGGCTTTCCTTCCTGAAAAAAAAATCATCTTCCAAACACAGGGATCTTTATATAATGCCTCAAAGAACGTCATTACTTAATCAGGATTAAATTTGTGGTCCATCAAGGAACTAGATGTAGAAGGACAGAATTAGGGACGGGTCCAGTGTTGAATTTTTCAGCCAAGTTCTTTTAAAAACAAGTGTTTTTTAATTTAGGTGGAAGATAACTGCCTTCTGAGTTGAAATTTTACAAACAAGGTTTGGTGGCAGTTGAAAATGTAGAAAAGAAAGATACTTATTTTTTGAAGCATAATGCAGACCCAAATAGATAAATCTGAGCGAGATGACAGTTCTGAAGATACTGCTTTTCATTTATGTTTTTGTGAAACTGGATTCACAAAAATTGGGATTTCAGATGTTCGTTATTTGTTTTATCCCACAATTAAACCATTTCAGTATATTTTCATCTAGATTTCTAGGCAGGTTCAGTGATTCCTGATGTCATGGAATTCTAACATTTGAATGTTCATTTAAGCAAGTGCTTTCAGTGAGATTAAAATTTATTTAAAAGAAATCAGAAAAAGTACATCTTCACTCAAACCCAGGAGCAGCTGATTTTAGTGTATGTGTGGAATGGGTATTTATGTTCTTCCCTCATTTGTAAAGAAATTGGTATTTTGAAATAGGTTTTACTTCTTCAGACTTAAGTAACTGTTTAACTTGAGAGTAGCATTTAACTCCCTAGAAGGAATTAAAATTAGAATTGATGTCCTATGTTAATTTGATTTAATACTCTTTCTTGTTTTTCCATATTTATTTTGTTCTCACCCTTCCTTAATTGTACTAATCACGTTAATTCTTCCAAGCTCAAAATGAGATATCAAGGCATAAATGGGTTGACTGTAATTTTCTTTCCTTTTTTTTTTCCCTGAAAGGTGGGGGAATGGTGCTAAGGATCAAGTACACTGTTTTAGAAAAAGAAAACAAAACCCAAACATGAGGAAGGTATGATCTCCAGCACACGTTGTTGTAAAACTGTATCAATTTGACCAGATGTCTTGCCTAGAAATAATAACATTTTTAAGATCAGCATGTTTTTTCAACCTGTTTACTGTCCAGATGGTATGAAGAAAATATTTAGGATGTAGGTAGTATTTCTTCCTCCGTGGTATATGGTCTGATATTGGTCATAAATAGAGCAGAGTTCTTTTCATACTGTGTTTCAGTTAAAGCAGCAATTTCAATAAGAAATCCTTTCACATTTTAAGGGGCATATTTTCTCCAGTGGCTGTAAATAGGATAAAGGTTGTTGCCTATTATCTTAACTGTTTCTTCTGTTTTACCTTAAGTGCTAGGGGAAAGCTTAACCTAATTGAAATTCAGGCTGTAAAACTTATTTATATTACTGGTTTTAAGATTTGAAACATTTTTTCATACTGTTTACAGCAAGGACATTGACTTTTAGCAAACTGAAGGTTGTTGGGAGTTGAAAACAAAGCCAAGGACTGTTGATTTCTCTGAGGAAGCTTTCATGGGTGGAAGAACTGAATCCCTGCCTGGTCTTTGTAGCTTCTTACAATATCCAGGAAAATTAATGTTCTTGAATTTGAAACTGTGAGGTTTATCCTTAGAAATTTCTGTAAAATATTATAATTTTTAACTTAGAGTGGTGGCAAGCAGGTCTTAGGAGTTGGCGTTATCATTACTACTTATCTATTGGGTTGCCCAAAAAGTCTTTGTTTTTTTCTGTAAAATAGAAGACACATTTTTCATTTCACCAATAACTTTATTGATTTGGATATTTTGAGTATGTTGGCAATCTCCTGCTACTGGCTTTTAGTGGGTAGAGGCCAGGGGTGCTGCTAAACACCTTCCAGTGCATAAGACAGCCCCACAGCAAAGAATTATTTGGCCAAAATGTCAACAGTACCAAGAAATTTCACAAGCCACTTTTGGTATACTCGATCAGTCATAGCAAGTTCTCCATGCACTGCACAAATCTTGTTTTGCATTTCAGTTGTGTTTTTACCTTTCTTGAAATAATAAAGCATAATATGCTGAAAATGTTGCATATCTTCTTCCATCTTCAATATTAAAATGGCTGCACAAAAATTCACTAATTTTCATGTTTGTTTTTTAAATGCATGCTGATACGATTGTATGTCACAACAAATCTAACAAAATTGTTTGAAATGAAGTTACAGACAACCAAGCACTACTAGTAGAGTCATAATATGAAAAAAACTAAACAGACTTTTTGGGCAACCCAACAGTTTAATCAGAAGCAAATGATTTAGACTATAATTGTTGGCAGCAAAATGGCACCAGGTATCAAACTGCACATTGTTTCAGCAGCCTCAGTACTTGAGTTCTGGCCAAGAAATAATTCAGAGCAAGCCACAGAGGTAGAAGTGGTGAGCTACAGAAGAAACGGACTCGGGAAACAAGTTGCAAAGGCAAAAGAAGGGCCCTTGGAGCCAGAGGGAGAGAGAGAGAGAGAGGAGGAGAGCATGCCTGAGTGAGTGGGGTGGGCAAAGGTGCTAGCTCCTCCGTCCTGAGAGTTTTCACCCCTCTCCAGAGGCAGGGATCTTCGTGGAGGTCCCAGTAGCATATTCATCGGCTTTCCAGGTGTGTCCTCTCACTGACTGGTAGGCACCAGGTAGGGGGTCGCGCGTCAGAGCGGCTGGTCTTGATGTTAGCGTGGCACTGCTTATCTGGTTTTGCTGTTTTTCTGGGCCTGGAGCTGAACACAGGAAGGCCGAGATGTTACCCCTGGGAGTGAATGCTTACAGGAGTGGTTGTGCAGGGGCTCGCACGGGAGTTGCACGTGGCCCCTCTCGGGCCTCCTGTCCCCCCTCCAAGGGGAGCCACTGCGTGAAGCAGCACGCCGGAGGAGGAGCGGCCGGGGAGGGGCCACGGGGCATGAACAGGGATGGGGAAGGTCCGGGGTCTAGTCTGCATGACCAGTGATATGAGGGCAGGGCTAGCCTGGGGATGAGGTCCTTGTTTGCCCGGTTGTGCCCGCTGCTAGGCACCCGGCGCCTTCCTCCCTGGTGACCTTCTGTACCTGGCTCCTCATCTTTGCTCTGCTCACGTCTGTCTGACCAGCAGGTGGTCATTTCGTTTTCTCTGGCTTTCAGACCCATCGGCTCTCCCTCTCTTCGGCTCTCATCTAATCTTCATGGAAACTGCCATAGCTTTTCTTACTCTTCCTTCTAGTTTGCCTGCTTACTGTGACATACGGTAGAATCATGAAAAGGGATCCTAATGTATTTCAGAATAGGATTCAAAATTTGTAGTAAACTTTTTGTTAATTCTTTAAATTTTGGAAGTACGTTTTCCCCACAGGGATTCTAAAAGCACATAGGTCATACACTCACACACACGCACGCCCACAGCCAAAGGCAGCGGAACCTCCAGGCCGCTGGAAAACTGGCGCTCTGCCGGAAAGGAGAGTGCGCTGCCGCTCTTGCAGAGAAACAGCGCATCTCCTCCTGCCCTGCTGCCTGAAGGATGATTCAGAGTGGGCTGATACCCTGTGAATCTGACTGAGGAACCTGCGAGTGCTTATAAAATCCTTAGTCTGTTGCTGTTGTGGATATAAGTGTCACAACCCTGGAAACTGGCGGTCCCCCTCTCATGCAAATCACTGAGGTTTGTGGGTAACATTCCCTCCCCCTCCCCTCCTTTATACTCACTCCTGCCCGGGAGAGGAAATCTCTAATTCACCCTCTAAGAACTATATAGGAGGAACACTTTCAGCCTTTCTGCCACCAGAGAAAAAACAGCAACTTTTATGTTGGTGGCTTTTAGCAAATGAGCTAAAGGTGCTTTGGCACAGTACTTTCTGGGCCCTGTCCGGTCTGTCTTCCTGTGGCCGGGGCCAGGTGGGAGGGCAGTCTGGCCAACCGGGTGGTAAGCTGCTGGGGGTCAGCTGGGGCGTCATTATCAAGGCCAGTCCAGTCGGCTGCAGAGCTAACATCATGTTCTCCAATTGGTGTTATTAGTAAACAGGCAAACATTTAAATTTATATTTGTTTTATTTCTTAATTCCAAACTGGGTAGAGTTATTGGCCCTCAAAAATCTTGGTGCAGTGGCTTTGAAGATAACACAAAAACGGGCACTGGGGGCCAGAGTAACATGAAGAGATCCAGGTGTCTGTGGCCTTGGAATTTAATCTCTTACTATGGCCCCTGTAAGTTTTAATGGTACCTGGTTCTTAACTGATACAAACTGGGCCGCGGTCCCAGGGCTAATCTGGTCAGAGACAGTGCTGGTCTAAGGGGATGTGCCGGGAAGGGATTACCGAGGAAAAGCCGGCTGTCTTCGGTCGGCAGGGGTGACTGGGAAATCGGCCACGCAGATCGCCCGAGCGGCAGGTGTGTGCCAGGCATCAGTGGGTGGTGGTTGTCTTTGGGCTTTCTCCACACTCATGGTCCGTGGAGGAGATGCTGCCATCTTGACAGATTACTGTTCTTTCTAACCCCTTCCATTCATGGCGTTTGACCTGTGGAGTCTTGCTCTCAACCAGGCTCCGAGTAGGCTTAGAATTGTTAGTCTCATAAGGCCAGATCATAGCGTTAGCGTTCAGCGATCCACACTTTGCCTTCGTTTGTGGAAGGGGGGTAGTGGGTTGGTTTTGTTTTCTTTTTTAGTAAGCAAACAGAATCTGGGCAGCGACCCCTACATAAGGCAGAGCAACAACTCGGGGAACTTACTGCAAATTCAAAAGGCCGAAGGTCTGAGCCTTGTGTCCTGTCTGCACATTAGTTGGGTCTGCTCGGACAATCTGGGAGGAAAGTGGAGTGGTTTGGAGAGAGCTTCAAGCTTCCTACCCAAAGATAAACAGAGCAAATGTAAAAGGGAATGCGGAGGGAAGGTCTTAGGGGATAGGGAAGACAGAAATGGAACTTGAGTCTCCAGGGCTTTTAAAGGAAGGGTGCAAAGAGGGAAGCTTTTTGGTTATCGCTCTACGAGACACAGTAACTGGGCTCCAAGGAAATACGGCAGGCGGAGAGTCAAGAGCTGAGAGACTGGCACGCCCCCCACCCCTCAAGCGCCCACACTGAGTAACCGCTGGAAAATGCTCCCATAGACAGTTCCCACTGCTGCTGGGAGGAAAGGGTAGGCGGGTCGGAAGGAGCATGTGGCTGACGTGCTGGTCTCAGAACTCCGGAGGCGCAGGCTTCAGAGGGAATCGTGGTCCCCTTGGTTCAGGAGCCTGCAGAGTGATTCTCCAGCCCAAACCACGTGGGCAAGGAGGAGAAGTCGCCTAGACTGAGCGGTGAACCTTTTCACTTCAGCTGTACACGCGAATCACATGGGGAATTTTGAAACACTTCTAATGCCTAGGCAGCACCCCAGACTGTTCAGTCCGAATCTCTGGGGCTGGGACCCAGGCATCAGCATTTCTTAAGGCTCCGCTGGTGAGGCCGTGAGGGTGGCGGCATGGGCTTAGGTGGTTTCTCAGCAGGAGAGGGACAGCAACCACTGTGGTACGGGACTAAAAATACCTGCTCTGAAGTTGTTGGGGAGATAGAATCACTGAAGAGATGACCTTCATTTTCAGCACTGGGGGGCCAGAACACACGGGGCTTAAAGGGGAAATGGCACGAGTTTTTAAAGTGCGCTGGATGGGAGAGAAAGGTGCCGCAGAGAACACCAGTGGTGTCCAGGGTTTCAAATTTCTGACCTTTCAGGAAGGCAGGAGTGTTGCAGCTGCTGCCGTCAGAGGTAGCAGTGCCTGCAGGTAGATGTATCCTTCAGGATGACGCTAGGAGTGTTATTGGGAGATTATTCTCTTATTGGGAGATTTTGTCTAAGTTTAAGTTCACACGTCTAATGAGGCCGAAGCCTAGATTCTCCAGTGTTTCCTCTTGCCCTCTGCTATGGTTTTTGGTTTAGTTTGACCAAATAATAGGTTATTTTATTTGCCTGGAACAACACTTCGGGGGTTGGCTTGGGCTCTGCTTTTTAATTTTTATTTTATGATGAGCTGGCCGAAAGAAGAGAGTGTTGTTTTTATTATTTTCCCTCTCGGGGAATAGAGAGGAAATTCCCTCCCTTTCATAGAAACATGAGGAATGGGGCAAGATTACTACCTGTCAATAATGATGTCTGCACAGGGATTCCACCTATTTTCCCAAAATAAGTCTCTCTCTTCACCAGAGCTGTAAATATTTCAGCCTAGAATTTTAACGATTGTGCCATCAGTCTGGTTTGACAACTCACATCCTTCTGTAGCTCATTGTAAAACCGATTTCCGCCAGGACAAAATGTGTGGTAGTGCTGCTGTTAAAAGGGAGTGTCATCTGAGATTTTTAGCCTACTAGGTCAGAATCATTTTTTACCCTTTCTCAGTAAGACAGTTTGAACTTTCTGGGTAGCATGAAAATTTTAAGTAGTGTTACATTGCCTTTCAAGAAGTAATGTGAAGAAACCCTGCCTATCAGTCCCAGATGCAGTGGACCCAAGGAGCTCCCATGGGAGGGGGCAGGCGGCATCCCCCGGGAGTCAGAAGGGGGGTAAGAGCTGACACAGCCGTGTAATAGTTTGGTGGCGGGGGCAGAGGAAGCTGACGCTCAGGTTTTCCTTCTTCAGACTCCTGGAGTGAAGAGAAGTTACCCTGGTGGCACATTCTACAGTTCAGGTGTAACTCCCCAACAGTGTTATGTGCAAATTAAAAATTTTTAAACGGCCTTTCCCTTGTTTTAAGAGCGCAATGTATAAAGCACTGCAGGTGGAATCCTTGGGTGAAAGACTCACTTTAGATGAACTCGTCGTCAATCGGATTTTCATCCTTTCATGTTGAAACAAACCACGACTGAGTCTGAGGTTTATATTTAAAGATACGAACTACTAACGATACTGTAACCCGACTTTTAAAGGCAGCACTGTTCCTTGAGAATTACATGGTATGAAGCTATATAATACTTAAGTCAGTGACCCTGACACTTAAGACTGTTTGAACCTTGTATTGTGGCTTCTTACTGCTCTACCTTCTACTTTCCCTGTATCTAATACAGCGCATTGCTTCCGGGTAGTAGCAAGAATAGCACGATCCTCTTACAGCATCCCAAATAGCCTTTTAAAGTTCTTAAAATTTTTTTTCGAAGAGCTGGTTGGACAGTGAATATTGGACAGAGTCGGGTAATTCAATGAACTGCAGCACTGTCGTGGGCTGCCATCTCCATTACCTTCCCCGTTCTCGAGTCGGCAGTACGCTGAGAGTGAGGACGGGGGGCACACGTTCGCCCCAAACATCGTAGCTTTTCCACTCGAAGCATGGGACAGTATCTTAAGCCCTTACTGAAAAGCACTTGTACGTGCACGCACTTCTGGTTCCCGAGTCGGCAGCGAAAAGAAGGCAGGCTGCGAGGCAGGCACGGTGAGGGCGGTGGCGGTCCGCAAAAGGGCAGAGGTCAAAGAAAAAAACAAACAGCCACTAGTTCCAGGCCATTGAGTGGAGGGGCAGATAGCCCGCGCACTTCGGGGTCGTTGCGATTGCTGAGCCATCCAAAATTGTGTTCAATACTTGAAAAGGAAGGATACGTGCTTTTTAAAAATATTTTCCTTAATGTCAAACTAACATATTCTTTTAAAAGAATGTTGAAAATACAGAAAAACAAGAAAATAATTTTCATGAGGTACATTAAAACCTTCTCTTTCTTGTGTTAAAATACCAACCTTCAAGTTGGTACTTCAGAAGATAAAAATACCTTCCATTGGTATTTTGATGTTTTTCCACTCATTTAAAAAAAAATCGTATACCACAGTTTATTGTGCCCAGCTACAAATAACAATAGAAGTTTAATGAAATTAATTTGAATTTATATTCTTTCTGCTATGTGGTAGCCGGGAAAATTGTCTCACCCGATGGCGTGTGGTAGTCACCATCCAAGGCTGTCAGATGGAACACAGGGTGCTCAGTTAAATTTAAATTTCGAGTAAACAACAAACAATATTTCTGTGTGCAAGCCAGCAATTTTCAACCTTTTTCATCTCATGGCACGCATAAACGAATCACTCCACCCGCCCCCGCAATCTGACCAAAAAACAAAACACAACGCAACAACAACCCAAACCACACAGCATTTTGACCTGCTCATACCAGATAGCTCTTGTTGTGTTGTTACTGGGCTAAGGGAAGAGAGGTCAGTGCCCCTGACTAAATCGTCCATAAACAGTCAGGTGTTGCCTGTTTTAAAAAATTCTTGCAGCACACCTGTTGGAAGTCACTGGTGTAAGCACATCTCAGATATTGCACAGCATGTATTTCTGTCCCAATAAAAAATTGTTTTTATTTAACAATATATGAGTATCCCCAATGCCAAATATTCTTTGCAAACACCAGAGTTACCTCTTTCCAAATAGCTTAGAAATGTTTGACGCTGAAAAGAATCTGAGTTATTTAGGGCAAACATGCCTCTCCAGAGTGGCATTCCCCGAGGATCTCAGAGAGGCCATGTTCCACCTACTTTACACCGGTCCTTCTTGTGGTCTTTTCCAGGCGGGCGCCACGTCTATGTGGGCTTCATGCTGCGGGCTGCTGAATGAAGTCATGGGAACCGGAGCCGTCAGGGGCCAGCAGGCAGGGTTTGCAGGAGGCACCGGTCCATTCAGATTTACACCCAGCTCTGATTTTTCCACTTACCCACCAGCACCTACAGAAGGGCCTAACATAGTTTGCAAAGCTTGTGGACTTTCATTTTCAGTCTTTAGAAAGAAGGTGAGTTGTCTCCCTCTCTCTCTTTCTCCCTTCCTTGAAAATAAAATCTTAAAAAAAAAAGAAAAGAAATGTAGTAACAATGCACCAAGCAGAAATGACCACATCTTAGTTGTTGTCTTTAAGCTTTGCTAGTGGGTGGCTTTGCTTGTGATTGAGGTTGTGTAGGTCCCGATTACTGCATTAGTCAGGTCCTCTCTTGACTTGGACTGACCTTGAGAGATCAGTTGCCTTTCTCTTTCCTAGTTATGCTTTTCCCCCTCCTCTTTATTTAATTTTTATTTAATCTTTTAGTTCCCTTATACCCCACTCCCAGCAGTGTCTACACTATTGTCCCTGTCCTTGAGTCCTTTTGCCTTTTTGCTTAATCCCTCCGCCCCCCAGCCCCTTCCTCTTTAAATGGGGAAGTTGCTCACACGGGGAAGGAGCAGGAAGAGGGTTTGTGGTTGTGCTTTCTGCTCCACGTGTTTCAAGTCGGCTCTGTTCTGCTAATTACATGTTTGCACCGAGGGGTGGAAAGGTTTTAATTCACTAACACAAGAGTGTATGCTTTTCTTAAAGGGCTGTATTTGAACTTCAGTGAATCCAAACTGCCTCGGCAGTAACTGTTTTGATTTTCGTGGCTTTTGAAACACAGAAAAACGCCTGTGAGAATAGTCTGGTGCCACAGAGGACTTCATAAGAACCAGAACTGAATTTTAATAGAAGGCAGAAAGAAAGGGAACTGGTGCTTTCACAGTGGCTTTTGTATCTGGCTACCATTAAATGCTTCTTTTCTTTTTCTTCAGCACGTGTGCTGTGACTGCAAGAAGGATTTCTGCTCCGTTTGTTCGGTCTTACAAGAGAATCTTCGTAGATGTTCCACCTGTCACTTACTGCAAGAGACGGCCTTCCAGCGCCCTCAGCTAATGCGCCTGAAAGTGAAGGACCTGCGGCAGTATCTCATCCTTAGGAACATACCGACCGACACCTGTCGGGAGAAGGAAGACCTGGTGGATCTAGTGCTGTGCCACCACGGGCTGGGCTCTGAGGACGACCTGGACACCAGCAGTCTGAATTCCTCAAGGTCCCAGAGTTCTGGTTTTTTTGCCCATTCATTTTTTTCAAGCTACACAGCCCCCTCTGCGACAGTGTCTTCATTTCAGGGAGAGCTCATGGGTAGAGATCGGACCTTGGGATCTGGAGCGCTGGCGCAGGTACGAGGGGCTACTTACCCAGCGGGCCCGGCATGGCTGCTGTGGCCACATGCGGTGGGGCCTTTAGGGGCTGCTGTCTCCTTGCGGGAGCCAGAGGTCCTGCACGCTGAGCTCTGTGCTTACAGGCTCTCCTGGTGTGATTGTCCGAACTCAGGTGCCAGGTAGCCCCCCGTCAGCTACCTGAAGGGCCTAAATAACTAGTCAGTTCGTTGCACTTGGTTGTCTCAGTTTCTCTATCTTAAACACTAAACACAAGTGAAATAACGGCTGTGAAAAGTACTAGGATATAAACATCGGCAGGACTGTTTATGTCAGTGACATGGGAACAGTCCTGTAAGTTAACCTGCAGCCCAGCTGCCGTGCTGTAGAACTGTCCTGATCAGATCGTGGGAAACCACCGTCTGAATTAGGGAACGTGGTCACTGCTAACTTCAAAGAAGCGCCAGTGCAGAGCACTCGCCCAGTGAGGTCCTGGGCGTCCTGATTGAATAACATGCCAGGGCTCGTAATGAATAGCAATTTGTATGTATGAATGACTCCAAAGTGCTGAAGGAATTATTTCGAATAATTCTCTCCACATTTTCTTCCCTGAGTAACAGAGTTAGAAGCAGAGGGAAGTGTGGTCTAGTTGTCTTTTAAATAGTCACAAAGTAGATGAGTTCGAACTAGGAGTTTTTTCATTTCCCAAGTGAGGGCTGGCGGTTATCAGCCAAACCCTAGAGACGTCTGACTTCCGCGCCACGTTTGGGTTTACAGCATCACGTGGGGGTGGGGGTCTTGGGACACTACCTTACGGTGCTTGTGAGCCAGGGGTGGAGTATTTGAAATTGGGAACCGACCTAGACTGTTACAGAGCTATGGTCAAAGTAAAGTCAAAGTAAAAAGACATGAAATAAGGTACATAAATCGCATCAAAGGGATTTGTGTCCTTCCTAAAGAGAAGCACACCCCCGACTACTGAGGAATTTGTACAGACTGGACCTAGCATCAGCCTCCAGTGAGGAAGTCGGGCAGCCATTCTGGGGAATGGAGTTGTTCACAGCAGCTACCTCTGACCTTGGGCTAATCGTAGAGCTTCAGGTCCCGTCTGTGTCTTAGCGGCTGCAGGGCAGCCGGCCACATGCAGGCCCTCTGATGGCGACTTCAGTGCAATCGCACATGACGGCGGCCTCGGCATTCCATGGTGGGACCTTCCTTGGGGGCGTCTGGTTAGGTTTTGTAAACTCACGTACGATTGGGGTTTGGCTGTTGTGCTAATTTCATGGAGGCTGTGTGGTCTATGGATCATGTAGGGCCCCGCGCTTGGGGAGGGGCAGCTGCATCCAGGATCCAAAGAAGTTGTGGAGTACACCGGGTGCTGGGGGGGCAGGGGGGTCCTGCGGGGAGGTTTACTCCGGCGATGAAGGTGGGTTGGTTGATGCTGTTAGGAAGAGGAGATTCCTGACATGACTGTACCCATTGTGTGGCAGGTGCAGAGTGAAATAGCTTCTACAAACACCGAAGAGGACGACGACGATGATGACGATGACGACGACGATGACGATGATGAAGAAAACTTGGAGGAACAGGTGAGATCCCCTGTAAAATTTGGTTTCCCTGACGTTGCAACCTGGCAGACAGGAAGATGCCCGTGTGCACTTCGCTGGAGGAGCACCGGATGCTGCTTCTGGTTTGAATGTGGCACAGCGTGTAAGACACTCTGAGGACGGGCAGATCTGGGAAGACCGTCCGGGGCCGGTGACGACTGGAGGGGACCGTAGGGTGGCGGGGGGCTGGGTTCGCGGAACAGAGGTGACAGAGCGCTGCGATTGCAGACGCCGGGCCTCTCCAAGAAGAGACTGAGGGCTTCGCTGTCGGACCTGTCGAGCGTCGAAGACGTGGAGGGGATGAGCGTGCGCCAGCTGAAGGAGATCCTGGCCCGGAACTTTGTCAACTACTCCGGCTGCTGTGAGAAATGGGAGCTGGTAGAGAAAGTAAACCGGTTATACAAAGAGAATGAAGAAAACCAAAAGTCATGTAAGTTTTCTTCTTCTCACGTGGTATCCTTCCATATGCTTTAGAAACTGGGTTGTTACAAATCAAAATCGTTCTGAGAAAATGTTGTGTATCCTTTCTTGAGTGGGAATTCCTTATATGAACCTATTTATAGATCTGTTAAGAAGTAAGTTCATTACATGAAGTTGGCATTCTGAGATCACTGTTGCCAAGTGAGTGAGTTAGGTGATCATTTGTTCAGTCTGGTTTTTCTTGGCATAATTTGTTAGAACTAATGAAATTCCTTGTATCTATAAAAATGTTTGTTTTCTCACTAATTACTCAAGTAGGCCAATTCTGTGGTTATCTTGATTGGACCTTTTAAATCCCATCATTAGAAAGAAATTCTCTAGATCCACAGTGTTAAGTATTACATTTTTAGGATCAAGTTGCACTAGGCTGTTGGGTAAGCCACAGAGAGCTGAGACTAAGAACTTCTGAATGACTTAGGGATGAAGCACGGGGCAGAAATCCTCTGCTGCTAAGAAGTCCAAGCCGCAGGGCATTTACAGACAAGAAAAAATACTTCAGTGGTGTGCAGACTGACCAGTATTACGTTCGTATCCGGACTTCAACAGCCCTACCATTATTAACTTTTATCATCTCAAGTTTTTATCTTTGAAGGCTGGTTATAATACAGCATTTGTTGATAAACAGGTTTACACCTAGAATATGCACAAATTATTCTGGCACACCTATTTCCATGATGCTACAATGGTAGGCACAGGAATCTTAGTTCTCAGAGCCTTCCGAGGTCCCGGCCTTGTGCCTGGGAAATGGCGTGCTGGCTGAGGGGAGGAGCCAGTTTTAAATGCCAGCTGGAAGGGCGTGGCCAGGCCTACCCACGAGGAGAGACAGCCAGGACGTGCACTGGGGCCCGAGAGCCTTTCACAGTCCGTCATGGGCCCGATATCTAAGCTCATGGAACGCACGCTTTGTTTTGAGCACAGCGTGACCCTTTCCTAATCTGACTGGCTTCAGCCATTTGCACCAGGGTTTACCCTGGCAGCCTTGCCTAATAGCCTCGACAGACCCTGGACCCTCTGCTTTATGCCCAGAAATTGTAAGAGTTGGAAGGAGCCTTCTGCGCCAGAGAGACCAAAGCCCAGAAGACTCACTCCCGGGGGGCCCTTCTAGTGCCGTCCCCACCATTTCACCTTCCTGTGTGGGTCCGCTCTCCCCGCTCCCTAGCAGCGCAGCGGCGTGGGCCGTGAACCAAATTACAAGAAGCTCTTGACATAACAATGTTTATTTTTCTAAAATCCAGGGATTACTGGCTTCTCAAGCCTGACTTCTTGTTCTTTTCTAACCACATTCATGATCCCCATTGATCTGTTCTGTGACCTGTAGAAAGGGGAGCCACGTCCGTAGCTCTGTGGCCGGACCCCAGGGTGTAAACTTTCCAAACTCATTCAGCATCTTTCTTATTCAGAGTCTGGGTTTCCTCAAAACCTAATCTGGGCCACAGGGGCAGGACGGCCCATCCTTTCTGAGTTAGACGGATTCCAGCAGGACCAGGGTGGCCAGAAGCACAGGCGGCTTTTGAGATGCTTCCACGGCCGAGGTGGGGTGGGGGCTGCCAGGCCCTGTCAGTGTGGAAACGCAGCTCCTTTTCCCTGCGGGACGAGACCCCGAGACCGCGACTGTCCCAGGGCCGCACGGTTGGGCTGATGAAAATTCCAGTCGCGTTCTGACTCCAAGGCCCATACTCAGGACGACCCAGGGACGCTTCATGTTCACTTACGGAAGCAGTCTGTCCTCACAAAACCCCTGAGTTACAGAGACTGAAATAGAATTAAACAGCGGACAGGCGCTGGGCACTTCATACCTGGCCCCAAGCTAAGCATTTCCCATTTATTCATCAGGAAACTCGACCAGGCGCAGGCAGGACTAGCACCGCCCTTTCCCGTGGAGGGGGTGCAGCGCAGTCGGGATGGTTCTCTCACGGGAGGGTCCTGCTGCGCCTGTGGTGGCCACTCAGCCTGTCGGGGGGCCCGTCAGCAGCCCCAGCTCTCTGTTGCCTTTCAGACGGCGAGCGGACGCAGCTGCAGGACGAGGAGGACGACAGCCTGTGCCGCATCTGCATGGACGCCGTCATCGACTGCGTGCTGCTCGAGTGCGGGCACATGGTCACCTGCACCAAGTGCGGCAAGCGCATGAGCGAGTGCCCCATCTGCCGGCAGTACGTGGTGCGCGCCGTGCACGTGTTCAAGTCCTGAAGCGGCGCCCTCCCTGCCGGGACGCTCGCGCCCAAGCTCAACCCCAGACACTTCAGAGCACAGAAGGGACTAGAAACCTGCTGTTCAAAAGTGAAGTTATTTTTAAAAATTATTTTCACTACTGACTGGGAATAAAGATTCACCCCGAGTTACAGCAACACTGGTTCATACCGTGCGCCTGTCAGCCTGTGGGCGGGCTCGGCCTCCCAGGTCCCGCCGGGCTTCACTGCGTGTCCGTGGCCATCGCTCAGAGGCCAGACTGCCGACGGCCTCAGCTCCTCCCCTCATCCCTATTTCTCCTCCCTCTTTTCCACTGAACCTACTCAGATGTTTGCAACTTCGCTCTTTGGGTGAGATCGTTGTCCACAAGTGACCGACGTGGTACGCACTGACCAGTGGTGGCACCTCTGAATGTTCACTTTATCAGTCATGTGTATTTTAAATGCTACTCTTTAATGAATGTAAGTTTCCACATTGTTGCTATTTCTGCATTTAAACTTAATTGGGAACAACTGACATTCTATAGTCAACTGCCAGGGCCTTAGACGAACTGTGTCCATTTCTGTTCAGGTACAGCTTTTTATAGCAAGGGCTGCATCTAGCTTCTTTCACTAGAGAAATGTGTGTGTTAAATTCTTTATTAATATGTAACTGGGTTTACACTGTTTTGTATAGTGAAAGTGTATTTTCAGTGCTACTGCTAGCTGATTTGAACTTTAGGAATAAAATTAGATTTTCAAAAATGCTTTTATTTATATTGTCCTAGTCAGTTCCTAATTCACGTGGGGACAGCTTAAGTGGGTGTCCGTGCAGATTCGAGCCCCTTCAAACGCGCTGCGGCATCTCCCTTCGCATCTGGCTGGCTTGGTGAGGCGAACTTCAGATCTGCTGTTTACCGTGACCAGGAGTCTTAAGGCCCTCCCCAGCACTCTGCAATAGATAACGCCTCCTCCCGCAGGTGAGGCCCCTGACCTCTGAGAAGTTAAAAAAAAAAAAAACTTGTCTAAAATTTCAGTGAAATGGCGACTCTGTCAGACTTTGAACTTAGCTCTGATGCCAGTTTATCTTCATTCTTCCAATCCTGCATATCAAATGAGAAACCTGAGATGTTAGCTTATGCAAAGCTGTCTCAGGGAGCGAATGATCTGACATCTCCTTTAGGGTGAAACTCTAATGGGGGCGGGCTGGTGGAGATGAGACTGAATGTGGGCTCATTCCCATGGTAGTGGGCAGGTATGTTTTTAAGAAATGTTTTTTGTTGTTGCGATAAAACTGTGTTATAAATACTGAGTTTTTTTTAATTGTGGGGTAATACTCATTGTACAAATACACACTTTAAAACATTTTTTCATTCCCATCCCCCTCCATTTGGGCAGCCACCAGCTAGCTTGTTCTGTGTGTGTGTCTGCTTCTATTTTCTCCGATTGCACATGTAACTGCAGTCATACAGTATCTGTCCTTCCCTGATGTGCCTCACTTAGCGCAATGTGCTCTAGGCCCATCCACGCTGGGCTCTCTACTCCATTGAACTATATGTGTTTTCATGCCAGTATGATACTATTTTGATTATTGTAGCTTCACAGTCTAGTTTGATATCAGGGAGCGTGAGACTTCCTACTTCGTTCATTCTCAAAATTTCTTTGGCTCTTTGGGGTCTTCCGTGGTTCCGTGTAAATTTTAGGATTAGTTCTGGGAAGAATGCCATTGGTATTTCAACAGGGATTGAATTGCATCTGTATGTCGCATTAGGTAGTGAGCACATTTTTAATACTAATCCTTTCATTTATTTGTATCTTCAGTTTCTTTCTTCAATATTCTATAGTTTTCAGAGTACAATTCTTTAACCTCTTGGGTTAAATTTATTTTATCCCTAGATATTTTGCTTTTTGATGCAATTATCAATAATATTGTTTTCTTAATTTTCCCTCCTAATTGTTTATTGTATAGCAACAGATTTCTGTATGTGGGTGGATTCTGTATCCTGCAACTTGACTTATTTTAATATTTTCTGGTAGAGGTTTTAGGGTTTTCTCCATATAATATCACATCATCTGCAAACAAGTTTTACTTCCTCTTATCTGAGCTCGACACCTTTAGTTTCGTTTTGTTTTCTGATCGCCAGGGCGAGGACTTCCAATGCTCCGTGGAGTGGAAGTGGGCGTCCTCACCCTGTTCCAGGTACTAGAGGGGAAGCCTCGGCAGCTTTCCATTGCCGAGTGCGCTAGCTGCGAGTCTGTCGTATACCACCTTCATCATGTTGATCTCCTCCTTCTGCACTCCCTTCGCTGAGTTTTTATCATAAAAGGGTGCTGCATTTCATCACATGCTTTTTCTGCACCTGTTGGTGTATCTTTATTTTGTTAACGTGATGTATCACATTAGCTGCTTTTGCATGTACCATCCTTACAATCTGTGGTGTAAATCCCATTTGGATGTGGTGTATAATCTTTTTAATGTGCTGTTGAACCTGGTTTGCTAATACTTTTTCAGAATTTTTGCATCCGTGTCCATCAAGGATACTGGCTTCGAATTTTCTTCTTTTGTAATGTTGGTCTGGTTTTAGTTTCAGAGGAATACTGGCTTTGTAGAATGAGTTTGGAAATGTTAACTTCTCAACTGAGTCTTAGTGGGTTTTTAATCTTTTTTTTAAAGATTTTATTTATTTTTAGAGAGAGGGGAAGGGAGAGAGATATCAATGTGTGGTTGCCTCTCATGTACCCCCTACTGGGGACCTGGCCTGCAACCCGGGCATGTGCCCTGACTGGGAATCGAACCAGCGATCCTTTGGTTCCCAGGCCTACGCTCAATCCACTTGAGCCACACCAGCCAGGGCGGTTTTGAATCTCTTGACTCTGCAGTTTGGTAACACACAGACCTGAAAATTACAGCAAGGGAGGCAGACAGTGTGCTCCCATGCTTAGAGGAGGAAGTTTAACAAGTTGTGAAGAAAAACATGCCTTTGTACTACTCTTTTTGAGTTTTGAGGGTCAAAGCATGTAAATCAAGGCCTTGTGGATGTTTTCAAATACCTTCTCGTATTTCCCTGCAGAGCCCAGGGTGGGTGTGGGCCTCAGCGCACACTAACCCACACGAGCAGATCATCGCCACCCTACAGAAGCAATTAAAACTCAGCCCCTGCTGCAGCTTCAGGGGCACTTACCTTGTCCGTGCTTCCCATGAGACAGTGAGCTCCAGAGGTTCAGCCTCCCCCACAAGCTGGGAAATCTTCAAATCCAGGCCAGCACACGACGGGAAGCACATTTAGAAGCTGAGGGAGCAGCAGGTGCTGGCTTGTCTAAAGTTAAATTAGAAAATTGAGATTTATTTGCACATAGTCTCAGCTTAAAACAGCGTATTTGATGTTTTCCTCTTGGATTTATGTAAGTTTCAAGTGCCAATTTTTAGCAAAGAATAAAAACTCCTAATAGTGGATCTTTTTAGGTAGTGTTTTGAAGTACCCTTGGTTTAATGAAGGCCAGCAGATTTTTAGCCTCAGAAGCTTGACACTTGCAGTAACTGGATTGTAAGGTGCTCACTTGTTTGGCAGAGAGCAAACATTTCTACCTGGAATCTGCATTTTGTAGCTGGCATGCCAGGCCTCCAAGTTAATTTTCTAAATACGTGTCATATGAATACAATTCTGAAGGTTCAGAGTGGACTACAATGACATCTCCTCGGGCCTGTCCTCCCACTGCAGAAGCATGTCATTGAATCCTTTAGAGGGGCCGTGCTATCTCCCTTTGTAATCATCAGGTTCCCCAGAGGAAGGAGGGCTGGGCCTCTTCTCTTTCCTTGGTGAAGCAGCTAGGATCTAACACAAGTATTACCTCTGGTTTATGGCACTTTCATGACACCATCAGGCTCCGAGCAGCTGTTTGCAAGCTCCTAGCATAGCCTGGCCTCATCTAAAGCTCATTTTTAAACAACAGGTCTGCAGACTGCGCTGGGGCAAAATCTTAACCGGGTTTTCAGTGCACTGAGGCGGGGGTGGGGCTCACCTCTGACCGCCGCAGTACAGCAACCTGCCTCAAGCCCGGAGAGAGGCTGTGCTGTGTCTTGGCTCTGCAGCACATGCCTGTGGGGCTGCGGCTTCCCGCCCTGGCAGCCCCTCCTCTGCCTCCTTCCCGGAGGACTTGCGTGCTCCCAGAGACGTTAAAGTCCGCCGATTGTGTGATAGCACAATCAGGGGCCTCGGGCACTGAGCACTCTTCACCCGGAAACCACTACGACCCTTAAAACAATCCCCAAGGATGAGGAGATCTCTCCCAGATGTCAGGGTAACTCTTATTCGGAGGTTCAGAGAACTCGGGCTGTTCTCCGAAACCAGACTGCTGCATGGTGAACCATCAGGCTCGCAAAGGCAAGCGGCGTTTATAAACAAAGCACAGAGTGTCCAACTAATCTTACCTCTCTCACGTGCATCTCCCGAGTTAGACTCCGGGGGACAACAGCTTCAGATGTCTTCAGTCTGAGTCAGAAAGGATCTTGGGATTTAAATTACCAGGAGGCAGGAACCTGGATGGGATCTAAAACCATTCTGCCGTGGCCAACCACGTAAGGGGAGGGGCAACAGGAAAACTACCATTAACGGACAAGGCAAAGGCTCGTCCCCCGACACCCAAGTCTTATGTTGCTACTGACTACAGAGGCGGGAAGCTGGGTCATCGTCACCGTTTCCAGATTCGTGGGAGCAGCTGTGTCTGTGTCTGTGTACAAGACAGCAGGGCCCTGTCTGAAGACTGCCGTGATTTAAAATTACTTCTCACTAGTTTCTGTGTCTGCCACCCAGGGAACTGACCGCATAACCAAGTGCCTCCAGCCTCCTGGCCCGTGGCTACTACACTAGCCCAGGATGGAGCCTCCCATGGGAAGCTGAGGAACCGGACTCCCCCCACCCCCATCCTTTGGCAGTGGAAATGCCAAAAGGCCGTCTGGTGTAGCATAGCTCTTTCCCATCACCGTGATTAGCCACAGACAGTAAGATCTCTTTCTGAAGACGGAAAAAAAACACATCAAGGGGGCCACTGCATTTCTCAGATGAGTAAGAAATCATAGCTTGCTGGGCTTTAAAACAGTGGATGTAGTAGGCTAGTGCCGAGATCCGTGCCCCTGGACTTCCCGATCAAATGTCCTGTCCACCCCTAGAACAGAAACCCTCCAAGTCCAAGAGTGTTTTTTTTGTACAATTGTTTATACAAATTCAACAAAGGTAAAACCGCGTCAGGGGAGGTCTAGGAAAACACCACCTTACAACAATGGCACTTATGAATGCGCAACTTTACAACCGGGAAATAGCCATGTTATAAACCTGAAACGAGAACTCAACTCACACCCCAAAGGAGAGAGAAAAGGAAGAGGAAGGCTATGGTGGGTCGTTTACTCTACTTCTTGACTCACCGTATAAATTAGGTCTATGTCGAGTACAAGAGCTCATGCTGGAGCAAAACCCTCCTGAGTGCAAAGGTTGAAGTCTGAGTTTTAAAACTTTTGAGAAAAAGGTGAATCCTATACAGAGGAAACTTGGCAAAGTGTCTTACTTTGACTATAATTTACATATATGCACAACATGCTTATGGAACTTCTTGATGTACAAAGCAGGCTCTCAGCTTCCAGGTAAACATGCTTTTAACTGGAAGGTCTCAGCCCGCTTTGCCAGACCTGGGCACATGTGTAACTGAATTATTCGTGTCAATGAAGTACAGGTTCAGTTCTCTCCTACCTTAAGGAAACCAGGAAAGTTGGCAATCAGAAAACAATAAAAACACTGGTATGCATTCAGACCTTGCATAAATAACTTTTAAACAATTTGTACAAAAATAATTCTGCATAATGTAAGATGTAATAAAACCAAAGTGTGTCGAGATGGCAGACGTGGCGTGTGGTCCACTTCAGGCTGACACCAGAAACCCCAGTCGCAAGGAATAAGGTGCCCAGAACAAAACACCACCACCAAAGAAAAAAGAAGAAAAAAAAAAACCTCCTAAGCTCATGCTTCAGTAAGAGAATTTCTCCGAAAGTTCATCGTGCTCCCCAGCAGGAATGTCTTCGTGGTCAAGGCCGCCTTCGGAACGGTCCGGGAAGCGGTGCGGGTACGAGTCAGACCGGAGGAAGGCGTCCGGCCCGCGCACCCCCCACACGGCTTCGCCCTCGGCAAGACTTGCAAAATCGCACCGTTCCGCGGTTGCTCCGAGTCCCAGATGGAAAAGAAAAGCCCTCGTTTCTGTAAGGTCTCTCACCCTCCCCTGCCCTCCCCCTCGCCCCGCCGGCCCCGCGTATGTACACGCTAGTCCTCGGACTAACT